TATGTGATTTTTAGTTGTTTTCTATTTTAGATAAAAATTAATATATTTACTAAATGTTTTGCTGAGACAAATTGAAAAGAAAGATTTTTAATATTATTAATATTCAGGGAAATTATATTTGCCTTTTTAAGCAAATATCTGAATTAAATATATAGTGGATTCAAAGAAAAAAACAAGAGAACAAGAATACAAATTACTAAAACAATTGAAGAGAGTTGTTGTGTACAAGAATGGGATGCAGCACTTAGAAAGACAAAGCTGTTTTGAAAGGATGTGATTCATCATCCTAACTGAGAACAAACCTACCTGAGACTATTTTACAGCTCATGGTGATTGGTTGGAACGATTTCCCAGGAGACTCAGCGGGGCTGGGTGCTTGTCCCTGGGGAACTATTTTACAGCTTGCTGTGATTGGCTGGAAGGCAGAGTTGCCATGGGAACCCAGAGTGACCCTGTCACCAGGTCTAGGTCTCGTTGGAGTGCGCTCACCAGCAGCAAGGCCTGAATTATGACCAGACCTCGCCACCTCTGCTTTTAGGCAACCTGCAGGTGGAAAAAAACATGATGGTGTGAACCAAAAACCAGATATGAGTTAAACTCAGCACTTATGATGACCTTTATTGAGAAAACTGGTTAAGGAGTTTGAGGTTTTAATGTTGGTACCTTTTCCAGCAACAAAATCATGTGAGACCGGAGAGCTAGGGTGTCCAGACGTCTGGGCTGAGGACGATGTTGACATGGGACTCGCTGCTTTTAGAGCCACTTTGTTAGAGGAGGAGGAAGAGGAGAGTTTAGGCATGTAGTCTTCCCCAAGAGAATCTCTATGAAGTTCCACATCAACCACCTGAAACACAAACATCTTTTTTAGAGGTGGACCCAGTGGGAAATTATATTAAAGAATATTTTACACGATAAGGAATATTGTTCAGATTTTCTTTTAACATTTTTTAAACTATCGTAAAAGTAGCAATAGAAACTATTTCCTTGGCAAAAAATAACTATATGACAAAGTAACACAATTCTAAAAACTATTGTAGGACTGAATCTCCTGAAGAGATAAATAGTAAAAATGCAGCAGCTGAATCCCTTCTTTGTTGTTGCAAAGCTTTGATCAACCAACTGTGGCTGATTGTTGATTTCTCTGACAAGAATGATAGAAAGATCAGTGATGCAGTATTTTTTTTTTTTTATTCCAGCCTTCCTGCTGTTAGAGCTCATTTATTATTTACACAGTGAGCAGAAACGATCTCACTCCTTAGGTCTGTGCGAGAGCAGCTGCTATTAATGCTTCTACTAAAAACAAACAAACAAAGAAAAGGCTTGGAGCCGATCATCTAAAATGGGTTTCGCATACTGATATGATCCATTACTGTGGTGGGCTTTGTTGGGATCTATTCAGCCTTCCTGTTATTTGATGATCTCACTCTCTCACAAAAAAAAAAAAAAAAAAAAGATTTCAAGTTTCCTTCCTAACTTTCACTCTGAATAGTGCTGCTGTCTCGTGTTACCGTTTAAATATGGAGTGTTTTTTTTTCCTTCCTAACCTGAAATCAGAGCCAATCAAGCTGAAAATCATCTGGAACCATTCAGACTAAAGGAGCTACCCAGATAAATAGCTTCTTGATAGCCTTTAAATAAAATGCTAACTCGGAGGTAAAGTATGACCACCTCAAAGGGGGCAACACCAATCAAACCAAAAGCAAGAAACTGATCAATATGACTTCAAGAAGACTAACAGATGAGGGAATCTGAAAATAGAAAATCATAAATCCGTTTATGTATAAAACATCCATGCATAGAAGTGGGGCATATAGAAAATGCTGCTCTGACAGATTTTTTACTAGGTTTGAAATCTAATATTTCCCCACCTACTCCTCACATGACATACAGGAAAAAAAGCCCAGAATGCACCTCTGTAACTTACAGTTTCTGCTCCCAGTGTCTGCAGCCCGGTGTACGTTCTGTCCAGCTGCATAAATACATCAGAAGTTAAAACTACATGAATCCATAACAGATTAATGCCAAGAATAAATATGACACACAATGTTGCAGAGGATGCGAGTCAAATATGATTGTTATTTGTTTTTTCAAGTCCAATACAAGCACAATTTCTCAGCAATTTTTTCAGAGGCTACATTAAAAGCTAACCAAGTAAACAGCAGCTTTAAACCACCATAAAAGAATTTGATTAAATAAGAAAAATGGTGCTAAGGAATATGATGGACCTCTCAGAAAAGATAGAGTGCCTTTTCAACCTTTTTCAGGCTTCAAACATAAAGATATGAAATTGAACTTTTTTGTGAAGAATCAGCAAATGGGACACAATTAGGAAGTGGAATGAATTTATTATCTTTTTAAACTTTTTTACAAAAGAAAACTGAAGAGTGGGGCTTGCAAAATGAACTGGCCCCTTTCATTTTAGTGCAGCAA